TCGGGATGCTGATTGTTAGCAGGGAGTTTATGAAGTCTTCTCGTTTCCTTTGTGATAGCAAAGCTGACTCACGACTTCTGTGTCATTGTTCTGATTTTCCTTTTCTAGGTGCAAGTATAGTTACTGTTATGTTCTTTTGATTTGCCTACTTTCACGACTAAATCTCGCTAGAGGCGACTATGTCAGTGTGTGGGTGTCAAGAGTTTGTGGGCCCCCATAGCCATTACCCTCAGATCAAATGAGTGGGGATTCCCTTTTGCCCTTCCAAACGCAAGTGGACTTTTCTTGGGAGTTGGAGAAATTTCTCCAAAATTTACCTTTTTTTTTGTTTCTTGTCTCTCAGATGGTGTAGTTAGACAAGGTGCAGTGTGCATGGCTTTGTTCTGGCTTTTTGGGATGGGTTTCTTGGACCAGATGGTGTTTTATGTCCTTTGGTGTGTATGCATCAAATCATATTCACATGGGAAGATGCTGGTTTTTCAGTAGCCTGACATGTTTCCCATTGAATTTAGATACAGTGAAGTGAGGTAGATATTCGATTGTTTAGGATTAACTTTTTTTTTGTGCAAACTGTTGAATAATTTTAGGCATAAGGATATAGTTTGAGATAAATTGGTTGATAATATTAGAAGTCACAAGTTGAAATTGAATGTTAAGATGACTGATTTTTTTTAGTTTTTATCATGCTGATAACCAGCTTCTTGCTCTGGAGAAAGGTTAAGAATGAAAAGCTGATGCTAAGTCTGGTATGCATGGTGCAACAGTTTGCTAATCCTCCCTGCAGACTTTTCTCTCATCCAGGTAGACAGTAAGGAACTTCTTCATTCTTATTGGCTTAGGACAAAAGCAGAGTGTCTTCTGGTAGTCCACCTGGCTGCCCAACTCTTAGTCACCCTTCTGTCCGTTATGTGTCCTTCCTCACTCAAATGTTCGGATGTGTTGTTTCTTCGCAGACCCAATGGGCCTTTTCTGTACCATAAACCTCGAAGACATTATGCCTCATGCCCATCTATCTGCAGCTCAATGTTTGAACTTTTCCAAATAGGTTTCCGCTCTTGCTGCAGCACTGCCATAATCAGTCATGACTCTGCCGTTTCTGTCCATAGTTGACCACTCCATTCTCCAACAGTGCTTCTTCCATAACATGGTGCCAGGTGAGATTCCAATCCACCCAGCTATAGCAAGAGAATTTCCTGCAATGGCTCGCTTGCCAGTTCGACACCCTTACTTCTGGGGTCCTCCAAGTAACAATCCTTTAGAGCAAATCCACCCATCCCAAACAAATTATCATGTTGTCCAAGTTGACACTGTCTGAAAACATACCATGCATGTGTACGTTGATGCAATCCAGCAGAAATGAAGTCCCTGGTCTCTTGAATCTCGTATTGTCCCTGTCTTGTTGGGCTGCCTGTCCAACATCCAGTATTGAACGAAATGAAATGTTTCGTTGAAATATCAAGAAGACCAAAGCCACAGTCGTCTTCCCGCTAAACATCGATTCTGTTCCTCTACCTGGCAGTTGTCTGTGATCCAGATGATTCACAATATTGAAACTGTCTGGAAATGAGCTATGTTTTTATTCTATTTCCCTCCTCATCAAGACCGACTTCTTAACTTACCTATCTTTGCATTTTCCTCAGGCCATCTGCCACTGAATATCTTATCCATACTGTACAATCCCAAGACACTGCCTGACTGACAAACTTTCATTTTCTATTGATGAGCTGATCCAAAACTCTGCTGCCCATTTGCTACTTTGCAGCTGATTTCATTCATTACCTTTGTGCTAAAGGGAAGGTGATGGCCTAGTGGTATTATCACTGGACTGTTAATCCAGAGATCCAGATAATATTCTGGGGACCCGGGTTCGAATCCCGCCACGGCAGATGGTGGAATTTGAACTCCATATCTGGAATTAAGAGCCTAATGATGACCGTGAATCCATTGTCGACAGTCCAAAAAACCCATCTGATTCACTGATGTCCTTTAGGAAAGGAAACTGCCATCCTTACCTGGTCTGGCCTACATGTGACTCCAGACCCACAGCAATGTGGTTGACTCTGAACTGCCCTCTGGGGAATTAGGGACGGGCAGTAAATGCTGCCCAGCCAGCGACGCCCTCATCCCGTGAATGAATAAAGAAGAAAAAATTGGACTAGGTTTGTTCTTGATTTTTAAATGCTTCATTGTTTTCAGATCATCTGTCCTCTCCGCCTCACTATCTTTGTGGCCTCCTCCAACGTGACAACCTTCCAGAATATCTGCAGTACTCCAATTTTGGCCATCTATATGCTTATAGACTTACATGGCTCCACTGTTCGTGGCTGTGCGTTCACTGTCTGTGCTCAGCAATCCCGTCTATAAACCTTTCTTTTAAATCTCCTCTTTTTAAAGACTGCTCTTAAACCTACTTCTTTAAGCTTTTAGACACACCCCACTGTCTCCTTTTTATTCAGTCTCTATTATTTTTGTCTGGTTTGCAATCCTTTGAGGTTTCATGGGATGTTTTACTTTGTTAAAGGCGTTGTATAATTGTTGTTTGAACTTGTAACCTTCTGACTCAAGGCAAGAGTATAACAGACTGAGCCAAGTTTATTTGTGTGTGACTAATTATACTAATGGATGTAACTTGTTTCCTAGAACCTTGTCTAAGCAACACTTTGTTTTCTGGCTTGCTACAGGAGCAAGCTGCGCTATGTCTTTGAACCCTCCCACCAGCAATGATGCATGCCTGAGCATCGTGCACAGTCTGATGTGCCATCGACAAGGTGGGGAGAATGAGACCTTTGCTAAACGTGCCATTGAGAGTTTAGTGAAAAAGCTCAAAGAAAAGAAAGATGAATTGGACTCGCTGATTACAGCTATTACAACCAATGGAGCACATCCCAGCAAATGTGTTACAATCCAGCGGACCCTCGATGGAAGACTACAAGTAAGTGCAAATATGAAGTATAGATTTTGTAGCACTGCTGTTCACCTAAAATACCTTTGTTTCACGGATGCACTTTTTAAAGGGTGGTGGCTTTACAGCAGCTATTCTAAATTAGCAACGCTTTTTGGAAAACATGAAACAAATGGCAGGTTATCAACTGATCGCCAAATACATTTGGCTATAGGTAAAGTATTCTGCTTCTCAGTCACCATCAATAGCCACCCTTCCCAAGTTAGCTTTCCATGAAAGCACGAGATAGAACACCTTTCCTTTCCTCCTCACCAAGGCCCCAAATATTGCTCACAATTGAAACAGTGATTACTTCTATTTTGTATGCTCTATTCACTGCTCCCAACATGATGTGCCCTTGTTGAGGAGACCATGTAGAGAGGAGACTGGGTGACTACTTTACAGGAGACCTCCATGGCTTAGAGGTTCTGGTTGCCTGTCATTTAAATTCTGCAGCATGCTCACCTCTCTATTCTCTGGTTTCTGAAATATTCCAGTAAAGCTCAGTGCAAGTTTGAGACAGAATGTATCTTTTCAGTGGGAACTTTACTATGGCTCACTACTGCCTTCTCAGTGGCAATTAAGGGTGACCAATGAATGCTCACCTTTCCAATTGTTGTAGAAATTTTTATTACTTCTACTTAACTAATAACGAGATTTGACTCCAGCTCCCGTTCGAAGCAGTTTATTTTCTTTCTTGGTACTAAGGAGAGTGAGTGTCGATCTCCACCGGCACCCAACTCTGCTAACACAGTATAACAATCTCCTTTATACCATTAACTTCAGAGCAGGGTGTTCCCGTGACATCTTGTGTTTGTCGATTCATTCATTGTAAGTTTAAAGAAAACAGACGTTGCTTGAGGTAACAGGAATGCTGTCTTACAGATACCTTAATAATTACTACTTCAAATGACCTTCGGCGTGCAGCTAGCATAAGGAGTGATATACAGTTTGATTGAAGCTCTAACTTATCAGTAACTAGGCTCCACAGGGATACAAGGGACATCTCTAATTCAACCTAAAACCTTGGTATAGTGACAATATATCAAGAGATCCTCCTTGCACATAGTGATAACGTAGTCTGAGTAACTACCTCCCGACTTCTGCTAAGCTCATTAAAACCCCACATGCTAAACTAATTAAAAATTCTTTCTCTATGCCATCAGTTTCTCCCATGTCTGCCCTTTCTGTCTTGGCCTAAATTCCCATCTACTTTCGTGATGTAAAATTTTTTCTTCCGCAGTTCCCTCCTTTTTGGTCTTTTACATCTCTTGCTGCAAAGGGGGTTCATATCCCTCCGGGTGAGGATGCATGTTTAAACATTCTTCCTCATCATAGCTTTCGTCATCAAAATTCTCGATCACTATTCTAGGGTACATCAGTACCGTAGGTTGGTGTCCTCCTATTGGGGGTAACAGGGTGCAAATAATTCTAGCAGCTACTACGCAAATAATCATCATGATAAATATTACACCATAATGTGTCAGAGTTACCCTCCAGTTACCGAACATCCACCAACCTCAGAGGAATTATAATTGTGAAACTGTTCTCTTATCATCATAATTTTCTTGGCCGACTTTCTAATGTGATCAGCCAGGTTGGTAATGTTTTCTGATTCGTCGGGAATATAGGTGCAGCACTCTTGTCCTACAATGGCACAGGTACCCCCTTTTTCAGCCAACAAAAAATCCAATGCCATCCTATTCTGCAATGCAATGGTCCTAACTGCCACTAGCTCTACCGTAACTGCAGATAGGGCTTGCTGTGTCTCCCTGAAATCTTCTGTTTCATTTGCTAATTTCTCTAATGCAGAGGCCATATTTATTAACTCTCTGGCTGCTTTTCCAGCTCCGTAAAAGGGAAAAGCTATCATCCCAAACCCTTCTGCTTCGGTTATAGCTCTCCTTCGTACATTAGTGCCGGAATTGGCTATGCCGTGTACCCAGGGATGTTGAATTAGAGACTCAAAGCGTCGGACCTGGGGTACGATATATGCTAGGTAACAACAGCCTGTCCGCTGCATTGGGAGCCAAGGGTAAGCTTTTACCCCGCATACCCAGTATGTTCCATTCAAGGCCCGCAGCGGTGTGTGGTTCAGGGTGTTGTTAGATTCGCAGCGGCTGTTGCCCATACAAGTAGCGTTAGGGTGGTCTGACTGAGATATGCACTCACTGCCTATTTCAGCCCTCGTTACAGTCAGGCTGGGGGGGGGCTAGACTTTCTGACATATCTAGGTATGTACCAGCCATCAAAGGTGAGTTCTCGTGATCTGTTCACACAAGGAGGTAACAAGGATTCCCATATCTTACTGCCTTTGGGTGGGTTTCCTGTCCAGCAATCCCCGGTTCTAATGCCTCCCTCCTTTCTTGTATGATTTTTAAAACGTCTCCAGGCATACATGTCACTATGGCTAAAAGGGATTGACCTTAAGGGGATGCCCCCTTCCCCTCCATGGTGAGGGACGAGGGTGCATACCCAGCAAGCAGAGACACTACTTCTATCAGCATACTCATGAGACATACACAGAAACATGTTTATTGCCTTTCGTCTATGCAGTCCGAAAACACACATCAGTCCAATTGCCACAATCAGTATTTTAATTCTTCGCATGTTGTGTCCTTTCGTTCTCGGTGATCTTTTCTTTTCGGGAGGACGTTATTCTCCTTTATCGTCGTAGTGCAACTTGCACCTAGTGGCGTGGATCCAGTCGGGTTTCTCCTTCACTTTAACAGCCGTGCGGGTCATTAGAAGCACCAGGTAAGGGCCTTTCCACCTGGGGGAGAAAGAATCTTTAATTCATCGATTTCACGTATATCCTATCTCTTGGCTTAAATGGTTGCACATTACCTTCCTTTAGTGGTGCTTGGGCTTGTCGGACTCTTTCATGTAATTTTTCTGCTTCCTGACACGACGTCTGCACATACTTTAATGTTTTCTCATCATTCCTGTTGTCCTAGGTCATCCCATTAAAATCTCAAGAGGGGTGAGGCCCGTTGTTCTATTCTTTTGATTTTGCATAGTGTACGGTACTAAGGGTAGGGCTTCTGGCCACTTGAGGCCATTTTGTTGGCAGACCTTTGTTAGGGCCATTTTTATTTCACCGTTTATTCTTTCCACTATACCTGAGGACTGGGGCTGGTAGGGGATGTGCAATTTCCACTGAAATCCTAGGGCTTCCTTTAACCCTTGTACCAGTTTGTTGGTGAAGTGGGTCCCTTTGTCACTATTTATTCCCACTGGAATACCGAATCTAGGCATGATTTCTTTCATTAATATATTTATCACAGTTCTAGAATCATCCCTCGTCGTTGGATAGGCCTCCACCCATCTGGAGAACATGTCAACTATTACTAACATATACTTAGACCCCTTCTCAGCAGGCATGTGCACAAAGTCAATTTGCAAATTTTCAAAAGGCAATTCTGGTTGGGGTAAGTGGTCAAACATAGCGGCTGTCCTTCCTCAATTATTCTGCTGGCATACCAAGCAAGCCCGTGCTACTGTCTCAATGGTTACTGTTATCCCGGGGGCATACCATTGCTGGGTGATAACATGCTGCATCCCTCCTTTGCCCATGTGAGCCTGGCCATGGGCCAGGCGAGCCAGGGGCAAAAATAAACTACAGGGGCAAACCACCATGAAGGGAATAGATAAGGTAGAAGTAGAGAGGATGTTTCCACTGGCAGGTGAAGCTAGGACAAGAGGGCATAGCCTCAAGATTAGAGGGAGCAGATTTAGGACTGAATTGAGAAGGAATTTCTTTACCCAGAGGGTTGTTAATCTATGGAATTCCTTGCCCAGTGAAGTAGTTGACGCTACTTCAGTAAACTTTTTTTTTTTTTTTTTTTTGAACAATAAAGGAATTAAGGGATACGGTGAGAACGCGGGTAAGTGGATCCGAGTCCACGAAAAGATCAGCCATGATCTTATTGAATGGCAGAGCAGGCTCGAAGGGCCAGACGGCCTACTCCTGCTCCTAGTTCTTAAGTTCTCATGTGAATCCACCAGCGAAACCTAGAGAGATCAGGACGATGATAAATCGCATGGTAGCCGAAACTAAGATCATCTGCACTATAGCCCTGCCCGAGTAGGCTGTGCAGTGGACTCTCTCGACTGGTGCTGATTAAAAAGCACAAATTCTGGCCATAGGATCTCTCAAAATTCTGCAGAGCAGTCGGCATTTGCCAGAGTCCTCGGGTATAGGGGTTGCCGTCCAGCTGCCAACAGTATAATATGGGCTCTGTATCACCTAATTTTGGCTCGTTCATCAATTGCAGCATTTGGGGAACCCTAATTTGGGGGAGCTCCATGTATATACTCTCAGTTGTACAATGTAACGTGGCTCCCAGTTTACAAAGAGTTTGTCAGCCCAGAAGGGGGAGTGGGGCTGTCTTAGAAATAATAAAAGTATCCGTGACATCTCTTCCCTTTATTTTCAATTGAGCTGGCAGGGAAAGGGGTTCCACCTGCGGGACGCCAGTTAGCCCCACGGTTTCAATTAGGTGGCCACTTTCTAGGACGTCCGCAGAGGTGGGTACAGAGGACATGGTGGCACCGGTATCGATCAGACAGTCCAAATATTTATTTCCCAATTTAATAATAGTCATAGGCTCCTCCCTCATCGTTTTGGACAGTCTGATGATGGCTGTACCACCCTCCCGTTGTGGCACCTCTATGCTGATGGATTTGGGTGACTAAAAGAGAAGGGGGGCATCTCCCCTCCCCTCATGTCCTGGCCTCGTCCTGATCTACATTCCCAGTGACCCTACCTTCCACAATTGTTCCATGGGTCTTGGGATTTATTTCGAGACCATTTTTGTCTCCTTTTGCCCCCTCCACCTCTTGATCTGGGGATATCCTCCTTTTTTGATAAAACTGTCCCATCGTGTTGGGCTTGCTCTCCTCCTGGGAAATGAAAAGGCCCTGTCTGTCCATATTCATTAATGAAGTGACCACTTCTCCCATTGTTGATTCTGCCAATTTAGGTTTGC